ATCATCCCAAGAGCACAACCTAACCAACCTTGACCCCGTTGGACCACTGTAAATGACGAATAGACACTAGGAAGCTTTAGGTACCCGCTGGCTTCGTGGGCAAAATTGACCATCTTCCGTCCACATTTGGATTTCGTGGTAGGTATGAAAGTTGTTCCTCTCATTGAGATCTTCATTTCTATAATTTTTGAGAATTTTTAGAAATAGTTGAATTTTCTAGCAAGTCGGGATGGCCGACCTCCACGCATAGCGGCGCATGGCCAAAGGGCCATCAATGCTATGTTTAGGATAAATTAGATGCCTGGAGTTCATGTCACATCCCTGCCTGGGGTTCACAACATCCCGAGCCCGCTCCACCACAGTAGCATGATATTGTTCACTTTGGGCCCCAACTACGCCCTCACGGTTTTGTTTCTAGGAACTTACACAGAACTTCCCAATGGGTCACCCATGATGGGAGTGCTCTCACGCACTACTCGCTTAACTTCGGAGTTCCCATGGAATCCGAAGCCAGTGAGCTCCTAAAAGGCCTCGTGCTAGGTAGAGATGGGAATATACATATAAGGCTTACAGGATCCATTCCCCTGGGCGATGTGGGATGTTACAATCCACCCCCTTTAGGGGCCCGACGTCCTCATCGGCACACATTCGCCCAAGGATTGGCTCTAATACCAAATTGTCACATCCCGGCCTGGGGTTCACCACATCTTTGGCCTGCTCCACCACCGTATCACGATATTGTCCGCTTTGGGCCCCGACTACGCCCTCACGGTTTTGTTTTTGGGAACTCATACGAGAACTGCCCAGTGGATCACCCATCATGGGAGTGCTCTCGCGCGCTACTCGCTTAACTTCGGAGTTCCCATGGAACCCGAAGCCAGTGAGCTCCAAAAAAAGCCTCGTGCTAAGTAGAGATGGGAATATGTATATAAGGCTTACAGGATCCATTCCCCTGGGCGATGTGGGATGTTACAATCCACCCCCTTTAGGGGCCCGACGTCCTCATCGGCACACATTCGCCCAAGGATTGGCTCTAATACCAAATTGTCACATCCCGGCCTGGGGTTCACCACATCTTTGGCCTGCTCCACCACCGTATCACGATATTGTCCGCTTTGGGCCCCGACTACGTCCTCACGGTTTTGTTTTTGGGAACTCATACGAGAACTGCCCAGTGGATCACCCATCATGGGAGTGCTCTCGCGCGCTACTCGCTTAACTTCGGAGTTCCCATGGAACCCGAAGCCAGTGAGCTCCCAAAAAAGCCTCGTGCTAAGTAGAGATGGGAATATGTATATAAGGCTTACAAGATCCATTCCCCTGGGCGATGTGGGATGATATAGTTCAGTCATGAGGATCGTATGACGTAGATTGATCGTTGGAACCTAAATTCTCTACAATACGTTAAAAGGTCATTATATGAATCGACAATCCGATCGTTGGATCATCACCAAACTTTAATACGTTATAGTACGTAATATTTAAGAACCATAGAAACTTACTGATCGGAAATCCGATGTACGGATCTTCCTGAATTGTATTTGTAAGTTCATAAAATAAAATGTTGACCGTCACTTGATTTTAGTAATTGGCGGAGATCCGACCGTTGAATTGTAATGAAACCTTTGGACGTTGTTCTAGAAACATAATGTAGATCTTTGAAGTAACTAATCGAAGATCCGTGATGCAGATCTTCCGGATTGTATTACGTAGGGATGTGTTTTATGTAAATTATGTATTCTATCGGTAAGAACTCTAAGATGTGATTTGATAATTGGTCACAGGCGACAACAGTTCGTGATGTCTCGATATTTGTGCGAGGGAGTCGTAGCGCGGACCTAAGGTGAGTGGGTCTTTTCGTTTCTATCGTGTGTATGTATATATATATATATATATATATATAAGATTGACATCTCCACAAACGTTTATAAATTGAATATTTCATATAATTTCTGTGAATGCTTTGGAGGACTAGTGCGAACTACAAATGGCTTGATCCCTATTTAGGGTACGTAGGCAGTCTAACGAGACGTTAGATACATTCATATAATAAACGAGACTAATTAATTGGGACAATAGCCTTGTTTGGGGAATTGAGCAATGTGAAGGATATTGGTGGAAAATATGAGATTTAACCTTATGATTTTGGTGGTTAAATGTTGATCATAAATCAATATGTGAGGAATCAAGGAAATGAAGTAAGGAAACGTAAGTAATGATGGTTAATTAAATAGTGTTTAGTTGGGCTTATCACCGATAATTATTCTCGAAAATAAATAGTTCAGGAGTAGAGCGTTATAGGTGGTTTCGACTATAGGTGGTTCAAGGTAGGTGCACAGGCCTGTCGTACAGACCACTATAGGTGGTTCCGACTCGTAGGTGACCTGCGATTATTTGCACAGTCTTCACGTGATCGTAACACTTGAGCGTACTTATTTACACGCAGTCCTGTCATACAGACCACTAGAGATGGTTTTGACTCGTGTGCAGGGATATTTGATGAGCTATTAATTCAGTCGTACAGGTCACTATAGGTGACTCCGACTTATGTGCTAGCATTGATTGATGAGATATGGATAAGTCGTACAGGTCACTACAGGAGACTCTGGCTAGCATGTTGATGAGCTATTGATTCAGTCGTACAGGTCACTATAGTTAACTCCGACTTATGTGCTAGCATTGATTGATGAGATATGGATAAGTCATACAGGTCACTATAAGTGACTCCGACTTATGTGCTAGCATTGATTGATGAGATATGGATAAGTCATACATGTCATTTATAGGTGACTTCGGCTAGCATGTTGATAAGCTATTGATTCAGCCGTACAGGTCACGTGAGGTGACTTCGGCTAACATGTTGATGAGTTATTGGTTCAGCCGTACAGGCCACAATAGGTGGATCCGGTTGACATACCATTTCATATTGATTTATTTCAGCTGGGTTACTTATTCTTGTTGAGATATTTGACACGGCATAACTGTGAGATTGTTATTTTGGTTATGGTTTTAAGTTATAGTCACGCCTATTATTTTTGGGAAATTATACAGGTGTTATGGCAAGGGGCTACTGCCTTTGGTAATTGAAATTGGTTTGAAAAGTTTTGTTTCACTCACTCACATTTTCTATTTTTGCACCCCTCTAGGTTCTAGCAGCGAAGTTCCGTATCGACGATGATTTGTGGCACTTTTCAGTATAGATATCTTCTTATGATGCTATAATCATTATCTTACCTTACTGTACTATACCTATACTCTGTATCACGCGTGAAATGAGTCTAGACCCGCTCACCGCGCACTCCTGTACTTAGGCACTTTTAGATTTTAATTTATTCACATTTTATACATTATCACACTTTATGGCTTCGTCACCTTCCAGGTGTCGGCCAGCATGCCTCGTTTCGGGATCCTAGTGGACATTCCGGGTCGGGGTGTGTCAATTTTCTATTAAATTCGTTTTTATTATTTGAAATAAAAAATCAACTTTTTCTCAAATTTTGTTTTAAGTAATTAATTAAGATTTGATTTGATACATATTATTCATTCAATCCTTGAGGAGAATGACCTTGCTAGAACCATCTATACTACAATTATCTTGTACTCTTGCAAGTATTTAAAGGAGTTTTTAGCCTGTTTGCGTGTGTGATCAAATTCTTATCATCACTCAAGTCTTTTATAATGAAACTGCACACCTAATAAATAGGTGATAAAATTAAACAAAATATTGATGATTATTAGTGGTGACTTATGTTGAACTTAAAAGATTTATCTCATATCTATCGTACATAATAAAATAAAAAATAAAACAAGAGTGCTACTAGACCCATCCCATTGTCTTATTTTCCCACCTACATTATTATTTCACCCACCATAAAACAATTTAAAAATAAAAATGCTATTTTCCCACCCACTATTATTCATAAAATAACTTTTAATATATTTAAAAAAAAAAACAACCTCAATCTCCATCCTTAATCACATCACCGCACCTTCATTATACTCTAGCCGCATCAACACATGACTTTTAATGAAACTTTGGATTTGGGTGGTGGGTCGGGGTCCGACTATTATGGTCTAGTTGGTGGTTTGCATTTTCTATGCAGGTTGTTGGTTCTCTGAAACTTTGGATTCAAAACAACCCACCAATGACTTTCAATGAGGTTGTGAGCTTCTTGGTGTTGGAAAGATGGAAGCATTTTAGGGAAAATCATGAGCTGGTGCTTTGATGCTGTCTTTCTTAAGCTTGAGTGCATCTTGTCGAATCCAGCCCCAGTTGACACCCAAACCCCTCACACCTACCTCAAATTTAGGCCTTACCAATATCCACTTTTGCATATCGGTGTCGTCGAGGACGATGGGAGGTGATTACTTGTTAGTGGTAGGTCACCCCATTTTCTCTTATTTCGCCAGCCATACGATCAAATCCACTTAATCATGGCCGTTACAAAAATAGTAGCGTTGACTGCTACGTAGGACCACATAGGGGTTTAAAAGTCTTTTGATAAAAGGATAAATATGTCATTAAATTTTTCATTAATAAGTGGGTGGGGAAATAGGTCAATGGGGTAAGTTTAACAACACTCTAAAACAATTCTCTGTGATACATAACTTGGAACAAATTATGAAAAATTAGTACAGAAATCTCATTACATATTTAACACTAGCATATGTGGGGGTAGGAATTTATTTTTATTTTTTTTAATTAGAGATATGTTAATATTACATGTAGGTGAGGCTTTGAAAAAAAAAACACAGCAAAATTTGGTTATGTGAGATTACATTTCTGCCCCATATTTCTTATTCATAGTCTGTTTTAATTAAAGGGTTAAACTGATAATTTCATAGAATTTTGGTTGCCAATGAGTATTTTATTAATTAGTAGAGATTATGGAAAAACTGAACCAACAGCCCACGTTACAGAGCTTTGGTGCTTTTTGTCTTCCTCACTATATTATATATACTAAAACTCAGTTTCCTACACTGTTTATTAACAGTGAAATCCCCAGAATGCCCCAAAATTGCTCTTGGTTGTCCGGGTTTTCCACTTTTTGGCCAGTGAAATGGCGACATTGCCCTCGGTGGCCACGCGTCTATCATCGCTGATCCTTCTCCTTCGATTTCTTCGTTGTTTTTTCCGTTCGCTTCTTTCTCTCCATCCTCAGCTTCTGCAAATTGTCGAACGTTTTTTCTCTTCCACGCCGGTGTTGTTCTTGGTGTCCACCCTTTGCAACTTTCTCCGTGTGATTTTTCACCTTCGTTTTTCTTCCGGAAAACTGCTCGATTCGTGAACGGTGGAGGGGCTACAGATTTCTGCCTTTTTCAATTCGATTGAAATCCGTTTTTTGCTTGCGTAGTCTAACGTGTTCGGGTGATTTTTGCTCAGCGTACGTGATTTCGTTTTTTAGGTGGTTCGCAATTGGATTCCACAGTAAAACCCAGAAACTTAGAGGTATGAAAATTTCAATTTTTTTGCTTTCTTAATTTATTTTCAATGTTAATTTCTGATTTATTTTCAGTATTGATTCCTAAATAAATTATTATTTTTGATAAACCCACTTAGAATCTGATCTGGGTTTTGCTTCGATTCCATAGTAAAAACCTTGAAACTTAAAGGCACAATCTGCATGTCGTTAGAAACTACTTGAGCAGCCGCGATCTCAGGTAATTTACTCTTTTGTGTGTATTGGGTTGGTGAGTTATTGATAAAATCTGAAATGACTTGAAGATTTGATTTGGGTTTTGCATGTTTGTAGTTTTTTGGGACTGGAATTTGGATTATTCATGATTTTAAAAAATTTCATATATATATGATTTGAGTTTAATTCAGGAAAATTATTATCTATGCTGTATATTTCCAAACTCAGTTATTGGTTGAATATACTCATTGGTTGAAGCTTGAAAATAAAAGGCTGCTTTAAGGCAAGGGAGAAGTGTCGTTTCATCAGTATTGGGAAGCTTTCTTTAAATAACTGTGTCAATGACCCTGAGTTGGTCTGTTTTGGTTTTGGTTATTTTTTTCAATTGGTTTGGGATTTTTTTTATGTTTGGAGTTCTTTTGCTGTAATATTGTTTTCTAGTCATCTGGAATTCAGTTTATGTTATGGGTTGCCATGTTTCTGCATTTAATTTGGTGTTTGGATGCTTAGGTTACAGTTGTCATCGATTTTCTTAAAGAATTAATCCAAGTGATGATGCCATTTTTTATATCTGTTTAAATGTTAACACTTTACAGATTTTCAGTTTCTACACAATGAGATGATGCGACTGTTCAAAGTGCTTTATCATTAAGGTGAGTGATTTTTGTTTTTTGCTTTTAGCCTTTTGTGATGAAGAAAGTTTAGTCATTTGTTTACTGACTTATTAATTGGTGAGAAGATGAAACATTTTGCTGTTGGTTGCTAACAAAGTAATACAATCTCACAACAGAGTTTTCGTTTTTTTTCTTTGTTTGCTTTAATTATGTATCATTTTTTATAAAAAAAATTCGTATATAGTTTTGGAAATTTTTATTTGGTTAGAGAAAGGGTAAGAATATAGGAAGAGGAGAATTACATGCTTTAATAAAAATGCTGCATTCTTATTTGTGTAATTGGATACAGGGTTGAAAAAGGAGTTGAGTGTTGTTGTTTGTGTCTTCATAGTTTCGTCAAGATTTGAAAAACAGTGAAAAGATATTAAACTTATGGATGGAAGTAAAGCAAACAAAATTTTAACTAAAAATGCGACTGGGATGAGAGAGTATTGTAAGAGTTCATTATGGTAAAATATTGTTGTGCATGACAGTATTAAATAATCAGTTTGATAAATTAAAATGGTGTGATTAAATAAGATTATCTGTTGGGTGTACCTATATATGCTTAATAAATTGTTAATGAGTTTTCAATTTCATGTTATTATTAGCTCTGATGATTTTGTTTCGCTTTTGTATGTTTAAAATTGTCATGCTCTGTGTATTTGAGAATTTTTTTTTTAATTTAAATTTTATTTCTGTGTATGGTCCAGTAAACTTCTGGTTCCCTAATCATTTGACTTAATTTTATTTCCACTTCTAAAAGTTTTTCCTGTAATTTTCTGTCATAAAAGGATTGTTTTGTTGCAAAAAGCGAGGCCAATTTGTTTAGGGCTTGAAGATTTCTACATTCACCAGGTTTATCGTCGACTTCAGGTACTTTGTTCCACACAGTTTGGTTATGATTGGGTAAAATAAGCTGATTATCTGCCTATTTCATGAGGATATCAATAGGGACTATCTACCCAATCTTTTGTGTGTAAATAGATGTAAATACACATCAAATATTATCTTTTGTATGTAAATTTGTAAAACATGTGAATATTAGAACAATGGCAATAGAACTGCCAATCCATATCTTTGTAAATAGATTTCTGTATGTATATAAATAATATTGCATATCGTGTGTATTTAGAATTTTTTGCATGTTTTATACAGTTTTAAAATCCGCAGCATCGCGCGGGCACTATTGCTATTAGTCACTAAACGTCCCTTTTTATTTTTTATAGACATCCAAAATTAAATTAAATTGGTTACGTAACGAAATTCAAAAGAATAATAGGAGCTGCTACTAAATCATGTAATTACGGGGATCCTTTTTTCTTCTTTGTTGTCCTCTGTCTTGCCATTTTAAGTTGGCTTAAAATTGGTCGTGGGGGTAGGAGAACCTGTCCTGCAACTGGTAGGGTTGTTGCTGCTGCTCCATTTGCATTCGGCCCCCAAAAGGGTTCATAATATCCGAGAAGCCATCCATGTAATTCAGGAACTGATTATCAACAGTATTAAAGGCATTCTCCACTTCATTGCTCCATTTCAGTACACTTTGGACCTCCTTCTCCGGCGTAACCTCCGGCGACAGCACACGCTCCGAGCAGCTCGAGTAGTCCGCCGTCTGCTGCAACCTGGGTACTGATTCCATCGACATATCCATCATGTGATGTGTTTGTGGTGGTGGCGGCATTATGGTCATTTCCGGTTTTTGCTCATCCAATATTTCTGGGTACTTGGTTATTTTATTGGTGACCTTATTGTATATGCGGCATAGTACCCAATCATCAAGCTGCATTACATAAACATCAAATAAAAAAGATAAGCACTTTAATTGTTTAAACAAACTAAAATAAAAATATATAAGCGTGCTTAGGACTCGGATTAATTTATTTCCCCAAGGCGATATTTAATTTAATCTAAAACTGCATAAGGGGACTGTGAATGTGGTTAATACTAATTGTAAAGTTGGAAAATTCTTCAAACCATAAGTTACGTTTATGAAAGTCCAAGGGTATAATGGTAAAAGAGAAAAGGTGTAGAACGACGGACGTACCCTGAGGTTTTTATGTTTCTTGGCAGCGGCGGCGGAGCGGTCGACATTGGCGAGGCGGTACTCGTGCATGATCCAATTGGTTTTGAGTCCTTTTGGGGGTTTACCGGCGTAGAAGACGAGTGCCTTTTTGATCCCGAGTGCCTTGGGCTTTCCAATGTGCTTGTCTGCCCCAGTCGCCTTCCAGTACCCGGTTCCAGCTGCCCGGTTCGGCCTTGAACCGTTTGGATATTTTCTGTCCCTTGGCGAAAAGAAATACCATTCTTTCTCTCCGTAAAGTGCCATGTCTGCATACCACAAAAAAATCCAAGAATTTAGAGAAAATTGAGATCGACCCAGACCAAAATTTTCAAAAAAAGAAAAAAAGAAATAGGGAATTGGAAATAAATTAACGTACGAGGGAGGTTCCATGGATCAAATTTGTAAAGATCAATTTCTGTGATGATTGGAACAGCGAGAGGCTGGGAAGCGCATTTCCTGCACAAATAATGGTTCACCAGCTCCTCATCCGTCGGGTGAAATCTGAACCCCGGTGGCAACTCCAGCTGCTGCTTCCGCTCGTCACCTCCTCCGCTCATAATTATTTTTTACTGATTTACTGTTATTCTTTCCCTTTTTCTTTCTTTTCTCTTTCCTCTTCCTCTTGCTCTGCCTAATTTGCTTCTTCTGAGATTTCCAGCGAGAATATTGGAGCATAAAGGACCCAAGAGGCGATCTATATACCCACCCATCCGGACGCACACAAGGGGCACACCACGTTGTTACATTTTTCAATTCTGACACGTGGGGCGAGAGAGTGCTACTCAGTCCTGGTCCTATAGAGAGAGAGAGAGAGAGAGAGCTGTGGTCTGACGGCGGCCAGTTGGATTGCGTTGCACCAGTAGACCGCCTAAATTCAACGTGACACGTCACTTAATATTACGGTTTATGTTATTTTTTTTCATGATGTGATATTCTAATTAATATCAAATTTGTAAATGAGAGATCTTAATTTTGAATTTTATGAATAAATAATTTTATATCAAATTAAACTACTCATAATGTGTTAAGCCGAACTCTCCCTTTTTTTGTGTAAAGTATATCATTGTATTAAAAAAAAAAATGAAAGTGGAACGTGTTTAATTGCTGACTTTCAGGTTGATGATGATTTTGTCACTGCTTCCGTCACCTACTTTGGACATTCTTAATTTGTTTCATTTTGTTTTTCTTTCCAAAAATTTTGGCCCTTTTATTTGTCGTCGCATGACGCATGGCGCATGGGAAATAAAGAAAAATGTTTGGATAGGACTTGGGCGCTCAGCCGCCTCGCATGACGCATGGGAATGAACGTCATAGCTCTGCTAGATCCACGAATTATTTTTGGAAAGTTCTCTGTTTGAATTTTGAACACTCGATTTGCCGCATCCCATATCTATTTTTCCAGATTAAAAAAATTAAAAAGATTCCCAAAAATTAGAAACTCCAACTAGTTCCATGTCTCCTTTGTTTTTTCTTTCTTTTAACTAAAGTACAATTTAGGGTAAATTACATTTTACAATCTCAAATTTAGATGCAGTTACAACCTCATACAATATCTTTAAAACATTTCAATCATATACCTTTAATTGTTATTTATTTCAATTTCATACAACTGTTAATTAATCCGTTAAATTTTTTGTTAAGTGATAATGTGACAAGCTTGGAGATCCCATTGATATGGTTGTCTCATATATGTCACTCATGAAAAAAATAAAAATATAATTCTTTTAAAAATGTTAATTTAAGAAAAAAACTTTAAATGCTAATTTTCTTTTATGAAAATCTTAATGGGGCCCACCCTACCACTAACCCATTCCGTCGTTACCCTAATTTTACTTTTGTCATCCCCCTTCACCACCCAACCGCAGCCACATGACCACACCCCCAGCCAATCCACGCCGACCACCACCCTTCAACTGTCAGCCGCCACCCATCTAGCCTCCACTGAACAGCCACCACCGCAATAACAAGTCAACCCAGCAACCAGCATTGGGAAAGTACGGCAGGCCGAGAAGGAGGTTAGGGGATATCGAAAGAAGGAGGATCGACAACGGCATTGGTTGGTGGAAAGGATGAAGCGCAGATCTTTTTTCTTTTTATTGTTTTTTTTTTCTTTTATTTTTATATAAAATATTAAAAATTTGAAATAATCTTCTAATATATAGATTATTAATAATTTATTTATCCACATGTCATAAATTTGCTCCAAGTCAGCAAAATGGGACCTCCAAGCTTGCCATATCATCACTTAACAGAAAATTTAACGGATTAACTAACGATTGTGTGAAATTAAAATAAATAACAACTAAAGGTATGAGATCGAAATGTTTTAAAGATGTTGTATAAGGCTGCAACTGCACCCAAACCTGGGGTGGTAAAATGTAATTTACCCTACAATTTATGTAGCAATAAAAATTGTTATCACCAAGTGATGACTTGTTCCTAATTTTCCATCTAATTTTCTCCTTGAGTGTGTAAACTGACGTTTATGCCCTTTTTGGCAAAAGTGGAACCTGACGTGGACATAGTTATTCGGCTTTTAAATTATTTTTCTCGATATTGTAATTACTTAGCACTCATTGTTATGAATGCATGAGCGTGGTTAGACCCGAATCGGAGTTGTAACGAGAAAGTTACGTTTAGGTAAAGTGCGTTAACAACGGGTAGATTTGTACACGTGCATGCTAATTATTCAGTGTAGGAAACTACTGTTTTTGATAAGGTGTGTTAGATTTCATCTGATTTCAAATTGTACAAAACCTTATCATTTTTCTCTTTAAAAACCTGTTATGCGCCCTTTCGACCTCACCAACCAATCAGTCACTCTCCTCACTTCCCTCACCCAATTAGACATCTACCCTCTTTCTTCTTCTTTCTGTCCAATCAAAAGCGCTCTTTCTCTCTCTCTCTCTCTCTCTCTCTCTCTCTCTCCTTCTTCTTCTTCTCTCCCTCATCTGTCACTCTTTCTTCTTTGCAACAACCTTACACCATCAAAAAACTTCACAGATCGAACCTTAAACCACCACCATTAAACTCCTCTCAACCCCACGAGTCCATTCGTACAAACTAATCTTAAAATGGACGAGTTTTGAGTTTCCAACTAAAAGCAACTCAGAGCTCCAACTCAGGTGGAGGTTCCCCGTCGATTTCCATTTGTGTTACAAGGTTTTGGGAGATTTGGAGGCCACTACTCAACTCCCCGTGACCACTAACCTAAGTTGGGAAAGGAGCCAACGTCGAAACATGAAATTTCAAGGAGGTGAAAATAGGTTTGAGAATTTCGAGGCTTTTTCAAGCCATTTTTGTCCACTTTTTGGACTTTTAAAAGGTATAGACTTGTTCTACTCTTCATAAGCTTCATTTCCATATAAAGTACGTAAAAAATGGTTGAGAATTGAAGAAGATATGAAGTTTTAAAAACTTTCCAGAATCTGTTGAAAATTCTCTAGTTTTCGACGAACCAGATGGCGAAGGACAATCAGAGAAGAAGGAGAATATTCCGTTAAAGTTAACAGAATATTCTAACGCCATTAGGTAACATTGTTAATAGTTAATAGAATATTTGACGAAATATTCCTCTATCATCTGTTAGCATGCCAGGCGCGTGGCCTGCGTATACATGGTGGTGTGTGCTTGATGTGTAAGGGTCCGTGACATCGAGTAGAATGATTTTGTATATTTAAACCCTTCATTTGAGCAAACTATGGGGAATTTTCCTAGCCTTTTAGTGTATGTCCTAATTAATTAATTAGTAAAGTTATTTCACATATAGGTGAGACTTACCCCAAGGAGGTACAAGGACAAACAAGGCTAGGAGGCTACGATCTATCGATGTATCAATGAGTGGGCTTTTCTTTTATATATTATATATAAAGTTTATAGTTTCCACATGTGCTTTTGGATTGATTTTACGCCTATCATGCCATGTTCTATTTAATTTTAAAAATGCCATATTATTGTTGAGATTTTTATATATTGTCATGGCATGTTCACATACATTTTACTTGCTCGTCATGCATGCTTGCACCGGTGTAGTACTCACTCGGGCCAGGGCCAAACTTCACGCGCATGTTCACATTGTTGGAAATGTGCCCTAAAACCAATCATATGATGATACTTTATGGACATTTCACATGTTAAACTAATCTAGTTTAATATTAAGGGCAAACATTATTGTTTGAGTCGTCTCATATAAATGTTATATGCTTAAACGATAAGTCCAAGGAATATGTGATTGGAAGAATGCGATCTAAAGAAGTTAGATTCATGAGACCATTCTTTCGTTGACACATCCTAAACGTTCCTGATCATTGGATTGTCAATTGGGCATTGACAGTCCGTTAAGATCAGTACGTGCTATGTCTTCTCTCAGGGAGAGTGACTAGTCTCGAGTCATTGGTGTGTGTGACATCAAGACAAGTACGTAGGTGCTCAATAGAGAATGAGTTCACTGAACACGATCAACGAAGAGTTCTCATATTCATGTCACATGAGAACTCATGGTTGGGATAATGCAAATTAGTCTTTTGACCTGAGGCATCACAGTTGTCTTGTGGTTAGGTCCTTAATCTTTGATTATGTCAAAGTCACTCCATCAGGAGGGTGTCCATGGCATCGTTGGGGTTAAGCCACTTAGCCATGGAGGCAAGGTTAGCCATGGAGGCAAGTGAATGCGCAACAAGGGATCTCTAACCTTCAAACTGTTTGAGGGAGAATACTCTATGATATGATTAAGAATCTTTGGCCAAAGTATGAATGAGATTTAGGAATGTGTTCCAAATCACATTCAAGGTAATCATATAAGCACAAGACTCACATTGGATAGTAGACATGAATAAACTATCAAACCAAACAATGTGGTCAAGAGTATTGTATTAGAGAAATACCGTATTGCATTTGTAATCCTAAAACTGAATAGGTTCTCCACCTCTTCTGATTAGCTTGGGTAACCATGACATGCTGCTAGGCGTCAACCATGGTTTGTGGAAGCCCTAAAAGTGTATTATCACTAACGGGAGAATTGAAAGTAAGTTTCAATTCACAATCGATTAGAAAGAGTTTTAATCGCCCACTGCCTCGCTAAAAGGAACCTAATGGATTGTTCACCGAGTAAGGTAGAGTTTGAAGAAACAACGGAGATGAGTAAGAATAATTAAATGGTTTAATTATTTATCTAAGGCTAGGATTAATTAATATGTTAATTAATCAAACGAATAAGTTCGTTAAAGACCTCGGGTTAGTTTTGGGCCGCAAGGCCCAATGGGATTTGAATGTCAAGCCCATTAACTCAAGTTGTATGACAACTTGAATAAACAAAGGGCTTGAAAGCCCAATAAACCCTATGGCCGGCCATGATTAGAAGAATAGGGCTTTTGGTCCATTAGGTCACTTATTTGAAGGGACTATATAAAGGACTTTATAGCCTAAAATTTAGATATGGTAATTTTTGGGGAAAGGATGAGAACACAAGCTCTCCTTTCTCTCTAAAATTTAGGCCACCTTGGAGGGATCATCTAGCAATCAAACTCCTCCAAGGTCACTCATTTCTTCTTCATTATGCCTTGGTGATGAATCATTAGAGGTTCTCAATGTTGGGAACTTTGGAG